CTGATGCATGCAACACCCGCTGAGTGGCATTAAACAGCTTGAAAGATCAAAGACCATTTTTAACTCCGACTGGATTTGTCTGAAAGAAGAACATCATACACCTAGGATGACTTGAGGGTGAGTAATTTATTGGCTAATTTTCATTTTTGGGTGAACTAACCCTTTAACGCTAACATTAGCTAGTTTTAGCCAGAGATACCTTGGTGAAGCACACGATGACATTAACGTTCTGCTTGAGCAGATGAAAGTGTAACTTAATGAGAGTATGACAACCAGAAAATGAATGTTTTTGTCTTCAGTGTGATTGGGGTTGAATGCTTTGAATACATTTTACTTTGTCTTGGTTGGATTTAGGAAGTGGAATAAAATTAATTACATTGCCTATCCTCTCAGGATAACTGGAATTAGTGTTACAAGTACACTAGGCACATCGTTTTTCCATTTTTGTAGCATAAACACTATTAAACCAATGCGAGCTTCGGATCTTCCAATGTTTCTCTGTGGCGCTGAAACCTAAAGATGTCTGAGTTCAGCTCCCCGTGCAACTGATACTTGACTGCCATTGGCTTATCTGCATTCGAGGGAAGGGGCTTACCGATAGGTCAACTGGATCTTATTCTTAACTGAGCATTAAAGAATGGCACTGGACAGCTGCCACCTCTCACACACACACACACAGACCCCCATTCCATGGCTTTGTGGGACACAAACATATATACAAACACAAATCACAATTTTCATTTTTGGGTGAACTAACCCTTTAAAGTTAGTGAGTCCATGCTAACGTACAAACCTAAAGACTCCCAGTCTTATAGCTGCCATATTGAATGTTGCAGATGTTTGCGAGAAAGAAGTCTGCTTTATTGTATTGAATTTGCACTTGTAGTGTACTTCGTATCTTGGAAATTTTCTTGCATATAATATTAATGAAATAAAATGCCACTTAAGTACACTTTCATGTTTAACACAATTCATTACACTTTTAAAAAGTGCAATTTGTTATAATGCCAAATAAAAAATTTAAAGTTTAAAGGTTAAACATTTAAAGTTAATGTTTTCTAAATGTACTAAATTGCAACTACGTTACAAATGTGTTATTAGAAATATATTTAAATACATGACATCCAAGGTTCATTAGAAATTACATTAAAGTATGGTTTAGTTTACCGTAAATGCTTGTCAGTATATTCGTTAGTACATTTTAACCATATTTCAAAGAGAATAGAAGTAATTATGAAATTACATTTGAAGATGTGTATGTTCAGTCAAAAAGCCACTCTAAAGTTCAGATAATTGCATTTAATATACATTTCAACTATAAAACATGCAATTAAATGCCCCAAAGCATTCCATTCAGTACTCTTTTTAAGATTATGCCAAAGGGTACTTTTTTCATAAGAGTTAATCGATTATAAATATTTGATTTGATTTGATAGGGTCAGACTATTGTTTTTAAGTTTGACTTACATGAGGTAATGTTGCAGTGCATAACAAAGTTACCGGCCAACTGGCGATTTACTTTTTGTTTACTCGCCAAAGTCAATTTTTACTCACATTGGTGCTTGGTGAGCATTAATTTTGGACTATGGTCTCAGTATTTTGTTCTCTCTCTCAATCATTTGGATTTGGTTAATTGAAATTGTTGATAGGTTGCTAAGACGTGAGAGGATTCGTAATGCCAATGGTAATAACCTCAAAACTTGCATTACAATAGCGAATTATTTGGCACAGACTGATATTTCTCTCTCCCTCTTCCTTTCTGTTTTCCATGGGTTTTGGAAACACTTGCAGCTTGTGTGTGTTGGCCACCGCCTGTCTCGAACTCAGGACAGCTGCACTGGCTGCCGAACTCATTCTCACACACACACGCAGTATGTTGAATATGACATACACAGTCCATTAAGCTGGGTCTGTTACATGCATGCCTCGTCTACACCTCTTTTCCACACCTCCTTTCAGATTCTACTACTCTCCTCTACTCTCTTTGTCCTTGTGTCTGCACAGCTGTGCATCAGCTGTCTGTCTCTCTCTCTCAGACCCCAGAACCAGCGCTGTAACTCCGCACTGGACAGCTGTCACCTCTCACACACACACACACAGACCCCCATTCCATGGCTTTGTGGGACACAAACATATATACAAACACAAATCACATATTTACAGAGACCTTGTTTTTAATGGGGAGGGAATAACAGCAATGCCAGGCGATGCTGGAATAACAGCATGTGTGATTTAAAAAAAAAACTGTAACCTATAAGTGCATATACACTACCGTTCAAATGTTTGTGACTGTTTTTTTTTCTCACCAAAGCTGCATTTATTTGATCAGTAATGCAGAAAAAAATTATATTGTGAAATATTATTGCAGTTTAAAATACCTGTTTTTTATTTTAAGATGTCATTTATTGTGATGGCAAAGCTGAATTTTCAGCAGCTGTTTCTCCAGTCTTTAGTGTTACATGTTCCTGCAGAAGTTTTCAAGAAACAATTTGTATTATTATCAATGTTGAAAACAGTTGTGCTGCTTAATAATTTTGTGGAAACCATGATACTCTTTTTCAGTTTTTCAGGTTTTTTTTTTTTTTTTACTACTACCTTTGAGCAATTTTGAGCAATTTCATGCATCATTTCTGAATAAAAGTATTAATTTCTGTCAAAAAAAAAACAAAACTCTTACTGACACCAAAATTATGAATGGTAATGTTTAGGATTGCAAAATTCCGGGAATTTTCGAGACTGGAAATTTTCAATAGGATTTAACGGGAATTAATGGGAATAAACTGGAAATTTGCTACATTGCAGGAACTGGGGACTTAAATGTAGTTGAGCATACACCTTGCAGCATAATCTTAGTTAAAACAACCAGATTTAAAATTATGATCAATGATCAAACAAAATGTTTATATTTATGTTTGTATATGATACAGTTTTATAAATTTCCCCAAATTTCCAATTAATTCCCATAAATTCCCAAAAATTCCCGTAAATTCTCATAAATTCCTGGTAAGTTTCAAACTTGGAATATTTCCAAAATTCCCCAGACGAAGTTCCCATGGAAAGTTTCCGGAAATTTTCCACCCCTTTGCAACCCTAGTAATGTGTATGTAATGTATGTTGACATGTGGTGCACATACAGAAAATGAATCCAGCCAATCCCATTCCCTCTCTTCTTTCTCCTATATTGGATTTGTCAGCTTAAAAAAAAAGAAGCCTAATGTGCAAACAAACACAAATCCCATATTCACAGAGACAAAGGGTTGGTGTTAATGGAAAACAATGGCATGCTGTGTAACTTAATTTTCTAATGTGTTTTGATATATGTGGCTGTTGGAATGGCAGTATGTTGATTTTGGGAGAATTTCTAAGCTTGATGGACCACCAGTGTAAATAAAGTGATCTCAAATGTTTATATCTATTCTGTCCAACTGACTTCATTAGTTGTAGAAAGGTGGAGATTCCCCTCATCACATGCTATGACATCATAACTGAGATCATATTCACCCCAAAATTGAATGGATAAAATTATAATAATCACGACAGCACATTTCCACTATGAAATGTGGAAATCCAGCATGAATGGGATTTTAAATGCTACAAATGAATTTGGGCATCACAAAATTATAGTGTTCAATATGAAAAACAATGTTTAACGGTGTTATTAAAAGATTACATTTACCAGTGATTATAAATGTTTTCGTTTTTTAAAGATTCACTTTTAAGTGAACGTTTGATGATGGCAAAAGTCATCTAAATGTAAAAATAGGGGAAATGAAAACTAAAAACGATTACCAAAATATTTTTTAAACTGTAATATCGGCCTATAACCGATGCAGTACCAATGTTTTGTACATCCTTAGTACAATATGTGGAAATTTAATTGAATCGTTCTCTCTCGTTCTTCCTCAGGTATGTCTGTAGAAGATAGTTCAACTCTGGACAGGTAACCTGGTGTCACTGTTGCTATGGCAGCACAGATGCTGCCATTGTTGCCTGCCCTCCTCACTGTCCTCCTCATTTCCTGGACAGCGGCCCAGGACGTGGATTGGCATTTTGACACTGGTAAGAATGTCAGGTGTTCTGATCATGTGCTGCTCCTGTCATACATCACAGCTAGTGTGAGAAGCACCCTTTCTCAGTTTATTTAACTGTGGCTTTGTGGTCCGACCCTGAGGACGTGTGGGTCCTGCCAAAGTCCTAAAGTCAGATTTACTTTAATCAGTCTTCTCTCCTGTCTTTAAACTCTTCCAGTCCACTTTTCTTTTTTTCCCTTCTTTTGTGTTTGTTGGGGTTTCTAATGTGTTTTTAATGCCTGTGAAATGTTTCTGTGGTCATTAGAAGTCATTATATTCAGTCCCAGTCTCTGAATGATGGCTTATGATCCATGTGTATCGGCTGCAGTGTTTTTCTCCATGACCGGTTACTGATAGTTAATCATGTAATAAGCTGGAACGTCTGCATGGATAGCTTGCCAGTGACTGAGAGGGAAAAGGAGGGGAAAGGCAAAGGGAGATAGTGGGGGGAATTCACAAAAAAATTAACTGATACTGATAGAGTAGTTTCTTGCGCACACTAAGTACATTTATGTGCCGTTATAACTGAGGTAAAACAGATTTTAGTCTTGGAATATGTGGCAAAATTCTCATATAATATGCCACCTCTGTTTTGGAGAACGCACACATGAAGAGGCTAGTGACCAAATGTAAATAATCGCAGCAGATTCAGTGTATATATATAAATACTAAGTGCAAAAAGTAGCTTAATTGTTCAGTGCAGGAGTTTTTAAACTTTATATTACCAAGGACCCCAAGAAATGATGATCTCTATACTAAAATATAAATTATATTAAATAGAGACACATTGCATTGAAGCAAATTATATAAATCCAAAATTATGTGAAATTCTAATTTTATTAAACTTATACATTCCCATTCAAAAGCTTGGGGTCAGCTGCATTTATTTGATCAAAATACAGAGAAAGCAGTAATATTGTGAAATATAAATTTAAATGAACTCTTTTCTGGATTAATATATTTTAAAATGGAATTTATTCATTTGATGGTAAAGCTGAACTTTCTGCATTATTCCAGTCTTCAGTCTCACATGATCCTTCAGAAATCATTCTAACATGCTGAGTTGCTGCTCAAGAAACATTTCTGATTATTATCAAAGTTTGAAATAGATATGCTTAATATTTTTGTGGAAACGGTGATATGTTTTGTTTTCAGGGTTATTTGATGAATAGAAGTTTAAAAGGAACAGCATTTATTTGGAATTAATATTATTATTTTGTAACATAATAAATGTCTTTACTGTCACTTCTGGTTTAAATTTACTGACCCTTTTGTATTCTTTTGAATTCAGTTTTTTTCCTAACATTTTCCACAAACCCACCCTCTGCAACAGTTGATTATAGTGAGAATGATGTTTCCTCAGGAGAGAGATGAACGTGGAGGTGCATATAGATCAGAAGCAAAAAAATGACTGCATTCGTGTCACTGAGACCGTTCGTTGTTGAAACTAGAAGACATCTGCTTACAATCCAGAATGACTGTAAAGCACAGCTCTCATCTGCTCTGTATTAGCTGGAGATGTGTGAGATAGACAGATTACGAGTCATGGAGAGAGAAAGCATTTTATTGGCAGCAGAGTGATGATGTAATGAAATAGGCACCTGTCCACAGTGTGACTCTCTATCTGTGTGTGTGTGTGTGTGTGTGTGTGTGTGTGGGTTGGTGGGTGGTTGGGTGGGGGTCTTGCTGGTTGGGCAGGGTTTGTTTTCCAGCCTTTGTATTCTTATCTCATGACTCACTTTACAGCAACTGACCCCCCGACCCATCACCCCCCTCTTCAACACACACTGACAGGCACACCCTCTGGACTGACACACAGGCACGACTGACATTATTTCAACGCTGTGTTTGTGCCAGAATTTTTCTCTACTGTCCTCATTTCATCTCTTTACTTAATTTTTTCTGCTCCCTGCACTACATCTGTAAGGCATTGCCGAAGCAATTCCAACAATGCAGAATTGCATTGGGATTTTTGTGAGAGTTTGACATTGTGCCATGTGTTGGACTTCATTTACCTATGTTTTTTAAGCACAGAAATGTTCCAAGAATTCAGCTAAGACTGATAAAACCTTGCTTCAGTGATGTCCTCAAGGTTTTATTTTATTTCAATAAATAATGAATAATAATTTTATCATAAATATCAAACTTGCGTTGAATACCGTCATTCATACAAGTATTAAACAAAAGCCTATAATGAAGTTTTCTTTTCTTAAAAAAGAACTACAACTACAAAATTCTTTTTTTATTTAAGTATTTTAATCTATGAACACAGGAATTTTCAAACATTTTGATGCCAGGGACCCCGAAACATGACAGAACCCCTTTTGTAGCATATAGTGGCAACTATATAATGTCATGTAAGGAGATTATGGGACTACATGACAGACATAATCATATAAAAAATTATATTAAAAAAAATGTTATGTTTAAATAATATATTTTGTTTACATTTAACTTAAAAAATTTATGCAAAATAAAAATAATAAAACAATATTTTTTCTCCTAAATTTCTGGTGGACCCTTAAGAAACTTCTTTCAGAGTTATCTTGCCTTTTATTTAGTTTAGCGTAAGTCTATGATACGTAATCATTTAGATTAAAAAAAGTAAGGGTAAACATGCATGTCATAATGTTATTTTAGTATTATACACTGTTGTAGTATTTAATAATATATTGAATTGCCTTTTTTTTTTTTTTTTACTTCTCAGAATAAGTGTTTTTTTTCTACCATCCTCCTGATTCTTCATGATGTGTATGTTTCATTTTTGTTAGTTTTGTTCTCAGAGCCTGTCTGAAGTGTTTCCTTTGTAACACACAGTCAAGTGTCGCTACGCTCTGGGGATGGAGGACGGCACCATACCCGACTCTGACATCACCGCATCCAGCGCCTGGTCCGACTCAACCGAGGCCAAACACGGCAGGTAAGCGTAGAGCACATGCTTTCAATTCACACACTGCTTTCTTGTTGCGTGCTTAATACAATATTCTCACTCTCATTTTGTTTTTGTGATTTGTGGTTGGTTGTTTGTGTTTGTGGGCTCTGTGAGGCTCATGAGGGGACGTGATTAGGTTACATGAGATGTCAGTAATGGAGCGTATCTTGATATAGAGCATTAGGTAATGACATTACAGCACTGTCTGTCTGGACTAGACTCACATGCTGCTGAATACAGGCCAATACCACACACGGTAGCAGATGCAGCACACACACACACACACACACCAAACACAAAAGTAGACACAAAACGACACCTGACTAATAAGCTTTGAGGTTAGCATCACTATCCCACCCTGAAACAAATAGAAGTGTGTGTGTGTGCGAGGGGTGTTTCTGTCTTTTGGCAACACACAGATCATGTGGTTGTTATTAAGTCCACATTCTGTTTAAGACAGCAGGGGGATTTCGCACAGAGGGGAGAGGAGCTTACAGGAAAAATGGAGCGAGGGAGAGGTGCAAATAGCCTTAAACAGAAGGGGAATAAAGAAGAAGAGGGTGGAGGTTAAGAGGAATGATGGGGTGCTGAGAGGTGCTGAAGATGGGATTGATGGTGGGGATACAGTGCTTTAGGTGTGTGTGTGTGTGATGTTTGTATGTTAGGGAGGTTTCTCACACATGATCTCTCAGAAGAAAAGCTGTGTGACAATATGCTGAAGACCAAGAGATATAGTGAGGGAAAGACCAAATGAAGAGGAGCTGCAACTAACAGCTATTTTGATAATCTGTTGAACATGTATTCCACAGCTGGCACATTGGTGTCCTTCAAACAATGTGCAAAGATGTCTGTATAATGAATGTAATGTATACTATTTATTGTGTACAAAAATGGTATAAAAAGTGTATGGTAACACTTTACAGTAAGGTTCAACCAAGGTTTAAGTACAACAGTGCAGAACCGACCTTGCTTCTAGAAGTATTTTTACCATTCATTGGTAAAATTCAAATCCAGAGATTTTGAAAATGTCTTTAAAAAGTTATAAGCTATGAACAAAACCAACCAGCTATGAGGTGAATCACAACATTTCCAAATTTGATTTGAAGCAAAAAAAGTATATGAAAATATGGCAAAAATACAAATGTAAAAAGACTGTGGGCATCACAAAAAGAAAGTAAAAAAAGATGAAGATTGATTTAAAGATTTAGATTTTACATATATAATTT